TTTTTTTTTTTTTTTTTTTTTTTTTTTTTTTTTTTTTGCATCTCTCAGTAACTGAGCTGAGTAGACCAATGAGATTCAGGGCTTTTATAGTTCTTAGCAGCTGCTTTTTAAGAGATCAAAACTTAGAATGCTGCTACATGGTATTAGGGCTCAACTATTGATGTGTCCCTAGAGGGGATATGTTTTGCTTGGGATGGGAAGTGGAAAGAGGAGAAAAGGGCAAAAGATGACCCCTTCAAGCATGCTTGGGACAGTAAACCCTAATTTCTTTGTTTCCTAGGATCCTCTTTGCAAGCTCAGTACTTAACCTGACGGAACTGACTGCCCTTCGGCCTGACCTTGGGAAATTGAAAAAGATTCTGTACTTCCATGAGAACCAATTGGTATATCCTGTCAAGAAATGTCAAGAGAGGGATTTTCAATATGGTTACAACCAAATTCTTTCATGGTGGGTATAGGTTGCTTCATATTTACCTCTTTGCCATATTTTTCTTTATAGATGGTTAGCTTTTAAATATGGAGACCTACTGTATACTTATAAACACCTTTAGGGAGGTGCAAATGTTTGAATATTACTTTAATGATACCAACTGCTTGTACTTCTCTGGTATATATAAGATCACAGCTACTCCTTTTATAAAATACATAAATGTAACAATCTAATTATATGTTGAACTAATTGTGTAACTGTATTTTTCACAACATTTAAAATAGAATCAAAAGGTTGACAGGGACCTTCACCGCTTGATCCCATGATTTATTGTTTAAAACATACTTTTAGAAAGGTCAATTTGTGAACTCACATTTACCCATTAATTTCACTGTATTCAACTAAAATTAAAATAGAAATTAACAGAGAAATAAAAAATTAAAATGTAATAGATTGAGAGATGTTGCCTCCCCTATATTTTTGGTTGTTTTTAAGGCAGAAAATTATGGAAAATGAATCTTTCTGTGTGTGTGTGTGTGTGTTTTCCCCCACATTGAGTCTTCTGAAATGACACAGCCTTAAAATACCATGACATTTCAAAGGTGAGGGTCCTTTTCTATTGTTACTTCAACGAAGTATATCTCCTGATGGTTAGTTAATGAAAGAAGTTAATAACAACTCCAGAAAAATGGGGCTGCTGTTGTATCCTATTCAAGTAACTACAGGCATCAAATGGACTTGGTGGCAGGAATTGGATACATTTTGCTCACCTTTTTAAACAATTATTAGCATTTGGGATTGATGATGTGTTTTAGCAGATCTTCAACTCTTGCAAGTCTGTTCCATTGTGTAGTTGACATAGAAAACAACTACATGGTAATAATTCTGTGTTTTGAGCATTTTGTAAATGTTTTCCTGTAATCATTTTTACAGGCTGCTTCAATTGTGAAGTAGCAGTGCTATCAAAATGGAGTGGAACTGCTTCACGTCAAATGTCTCATAAAAAAGCAACTGTTTTAAAATTTCATAATAAAATTAAAATACTTTATTTTATATTGAAACAAAGGGAAATATGTTTGAAAAATGAAAATAAAATCATTTTGTGCTTTATCAATATGGAAAACATTTGTAATATTCCTATGATTTCTTGAATTAGCATCATTCTTTTCTTCAGATAATGTGTGTTTATTACCCCTGAGAAAACACTGGGAAAAAAAAATTAAGTCTATTTTTCCTTTTATGGGTGGCTTTAAAGTTAATGGAAGTTGTACCCATTTATATCAGGAAGCAAATGCACCAAAAATAATATTTCTGTAAACAGTTTTGTGTCTTTCACTTAGCACAGACTAGATTTTTAAGAATGTAAGTGGTTGGGTTTTAGCTATCTGCCCTTTGAGAACAGATATCTAAAACAAATTTTACCTCACTCCCCTCCCTTCTTTTATAAGATTGGTTTTACTCACAGGGAATGAGTCTGTAAAAGCTTGCACACAATTTTTCAGCATTTCTCTTCTTAAGAGGGTAAACTGATAGACTAGCTTGGAAAGAAAGAAGTGAACTTCATCATAATTTGGCTTCTTAATGGGAAAAAAATGGCTCACAGTTGTCCAGAGGAAAAATAAGAGTGTCAAAGAACAGTCTTGTTCTGATTCTCTTCAAAAAGTATGACTCCTGCTTTCTCAAATGTTTCTTTAGTTTTCTTGCTGACTTCTGCTTTTGTTGGCACTGTCAGATTTCTTCCTTGACTGTGTGGCAGTTAAGGATTTTAAAGATGACTGACATAAGCACTCACCTTAAACAGAGGTTTCACTAACCCTCTGACTTATGAACACATGTCGTAACTGTATATTATGACCTGTGGGTCACTATTACAATATGTGACATATGGTGAAAGCAGGCTAGCTGTAAAACATCCTTCAACTTTTGGGATATTATTATATTGGTTTCCTTATTGCTTAGTGTCATGTCAGCACTTCTATGCTTTCCTTTGTTTTATCCATGTTGCAGACATTCCTATTCCCCCAGATTTGCACCAGGTAAGAACTTTAAAAGAAACAAACAAACAAAAAAACTTGTATGCAAAAGGAATTTTGGAGGAAAATTGTGGAGGTGGCATGATAAGATTTTGCTCATTGATTTTTTTCATTCTACTATGTATTAATAATAGTAAATCTGGCTGTTTCAGGAAATATGGTATAAATGAAATTGAGGATTTGGTAAGGCATTCCTATTGTATCTATAAGCGATACTTATTTTATTGTGTTTTACATTCCTATGGACTTTAATGTTTTCAGTGTTATTGATCTGTCATTTTCAGGGTGAAATAAAATTGCTGTATCTGTTTATCTATATCCTGTTTTGGAAGTGTTTGGATGCATTTCATTGAGATCCAGTGACACTGAATCATTGGTTAAATGATAACAAGTCATTTTCAAAAATCCAAACAGTGATTTATTAATTCAGTTTGATTCATATTACACATTCAGATTCTATCCAGCTCATCCATGATTCTAAATTGTGTTCACTTGTGTCCAGGTAAATATTACAGGCAATCTGAAAACTGCCCATATGCTTATATCACATAACATTTTCTTTCATGTTTTCCTCTTCAGTTTTTTTAAGCTTTTCCTTTTTAAAATATTTTTATTAGTACATTATAGTTATACATAATAGTAGGGTTCATTCTTTACAAAAATCATACATGCATGGAATATAATTTGCTATATTTAAGTCCCAAGTACTTCCTCTTTCTTTCTTCTTCTACCTCCCCCTCACATTTTCTTATAAAAATATTTTTATGTTATTTTTGTAAAATATTGAGGAGTACAATCTTATTTGTCAAAAGCAATAATCAGTAGTATATTTGTTTTGTTTAATTCTAAAAGTTTTGGTACTGTGTTCATTATATATATATATAATGAGTGGGACAAATGATATGTATTTCTAGATCCATTTCCACTAATTTGTCTACTTCTCTGGTGACCCCAAATAATATAGAGAAATAAGTTGATTTGTAGAGATACTATTACCCTTCCCATGTAATTTCAGAACTTTAAAAAACATAACAGTTTCTTTTTTTGCTATTGAAGACTGAACTCAGGGGCACGCAAACCACTGAGTCACATCCCCAGCCCTGTTTTATATTTTATTTTGAGATAGGGTCTTACTGAGTTGCTTAGTGCCTCACTTTGGCTGGAGGCTGGCTTTGAACTCATGGTACTCCTAATACAGCCTCCAGAGCCACTGGGATCACAGGCTTGTGCCAGAAAAACATAACACAGTTTATTGAAGCAATATCTAAAGCAGAGAATACACTTACAGACTTTGACCAAAATGTTTTGAAAATACCATGGCCTAGCTTGAATGAAGGTGGCAAGAAGTCCAGCAAACATTCCCTTCTTAATATTACAGTATAAAACAAAGTATATCATTGACAGAGAAACTCAATCTTGGCAGATGGGCTACAATTAAATTTTTTTTTCTAAATTAAATATTGTTGGTAATGTGGAAAGTTCCGGGCATTATGGGGAAGCATATTTTGGTTTGAAGTCCCATGTGATCACACTGAATCATTAAATTTGCCTGTTGTCTTTCCTCCCTGTTGCCACCAATCCAACTTCCCATGATACAACACTAATGAAACTCACTTATCTATTAATAGAGACATTTTGAGAGATACTGATGGGAAGTGAAGTGTTCTTTGGAATCCTGAAGTACAATGTAAACTATAATTAATACACAGAGGTTTTAGGCTTATAAAAAATTCTCTGAATGAATCTGAGTTTATCATTTGCATTTATTTTTTTTTTCCTTTAAAGCCTGGTGGCTGATGTGGTGGTATTCAACTCAGTTTTTAATATGGAGTCATTTCTCACTTCCATTGGAAAATTTATGAAGCTGATTCCTGATCACAGACCCAAGGATCTGGAAAGCATCATCAGACCCAAGTGCCAAGTTATTTACTTTCCCATCAGATTTTCTGATGTGAGCAGGTCAGTGTGTTTGACTCTGTTCTCAATATTGTATCATAAATTACTTCTCAAATGTATAGAAATCAGTGTTTTTTCCTGCCAATTTTAACATATTGGCATAAGCATGGTTAATAGAGAGTTGAGTTCTTTCTCACCACACTGTACTTTTCAGTAAGTGTTATGTTCATTGGATCACTGGGTGGTTAGTTCAGATGTTGAATTCTTCCTTTCTTTACTGTTATTTATTTCCCAAAGTAGGTTGCTTTGGCTTTTAAAACTTACTATCATGTTTCTTTGTTTGTTATTTATTAAAAAAGTTATTGTCAAACATATTTGTCAACTTTTACATCCAGCCTTAGAGCCACTGGTTTAAATGCATAATAATCACTCTTTTAAAAAGTAACGTTAAAACCTCATTTTCTGGATGACTTTTCAGTTTCACTGCTATTTTCCTCTAATCTTTTTCTTTCTTCATTTTTATTATTTATATTATCTTTATAATGAATTAAGCCTTCCATATTGGGTTGCCAATATACTTAATTGCCATTTCTCTTTCTCATTTGCTAAGGACATTTTTTATTACCCTTGTTACTGGGCCCACCCTGAATTAGCAATGGATGATGTGGCTCTAAGGGAACATTCTGGAATCCCTTTTCACTTTCAATTAAAACCTAGCAAAACTATTTTTACTACTATCAGGAATATTTGTCCTATGTGAATACAAAGTTCTTTTTTTTTTTTTCTTCAGTGGGACTCACACTAGCTGGGTATGATGCTGTTTTGTAACTGCATCCTTAGAAGAAGTTTGGGGACAGCTGTTTCTACCCCATCTTTGCAATGAAGGCCAGAGATGATTTAATGTCCTTAGGTGCTGTGCAGAAGGTCAGCATTAGCCTCTGTGTTCTAGATTTACTGAATTCACCCAGATTTTGCTGTAGGGTCAGTAGTCCTAATCTGCACCCCTAATGATGATTTATGTGAGTGTCTTACTAGTTAGTATTTCATCTACAAAAAAATATCCCCATACCAAATCAAGTTAATGAGTCATAAAATTCAAGTTAGACCACCTTGCCCAATCCTTACTTTGTGCATAGTAGAAAACAGAAGCCCAGAGAAGTAGAGACTGTCTTGCAATCACCCTGTCATTGTCACAGACTGGATTAAGTTTAGCTTCCATAACTTTTGATTCTAATTTCTGTTTAATGTTAAAGCTTCCTGTCATTATTGGTCATTTATTAATAACGTTTCATGATTTATTTGCCTTTTTGATAACTATAAAGCTAAATGCAACCATAATGACAATCAATTTTCAAGTGTGTGTGTGTGTGTGTGTGTGTGTGTGTGTGTGTGTGTGTGTGTGTGTGTTTTCATATGTGTGTATAGTCATATCTTCATATGTGTGAGGGATTTGTTCCAAGACCTAAATGTCAGGGATATCAAAATCTGCAGATACTCAAGTTCCTTATGTAAAGTGGTATAGTATTTATATTAACATATATACATCTCCCCATATACTTTAAACCATCTCTAAATTCCTTGTAATACTTAATACAATATAAGGGCTGGGCAGATGGTGATTATATGGCATTAGTCGAGCAATTACAACAAGAAAAATGTCTGTGTATACTTAGTACAGACATATTGCTTTCTTCCCAAATAATTTGGATATGCAGTTGGTTGAATCCCTGAATGGAAACCCATGGATACAGAGGGCTAACTGTGTATGTGTGTGTATATATTTCTGTAGACATAGTTTTCTTATGTGTGATGGGAAAATTTAATTTTTGAAAGCTCTTATTGTTATACTTTACACTTATTATTCACTGGAACACAGTTATGAACCTGAATTTTTAAAATATTGGGTTTGTTTTTAGAAATAAGTTTTTAATTTGTTCAGAGATAGCAATGTACATCTGTAAGTGAGTAGGTAGTTATAGCTCATCTTGTTACTGCTCTAGGTTTCCAAGTAAATATGTGTTTTAAAATTCATTTACATCTGATATGTTTCTATAACATAATATGTTTAATACACCTATGGCAATTGAATAGTTTATTAATTTGAACCATATTACCATAAAGGAATCTAGCTAAATAGAAGAAGGTTAAGAAATATTGTGGCCAAGATAACATTCATAAGCAAGGTCTTAGCCCAGAGTGTTATTTGAATTATTTTCAAATGGTAATTTGCTTTATACAACCCAAACTCATATAGTGTAAGTAAGTGATTATTTGCATGAATGACAATCATTCTAATGCCTGCAGTTTTAAAAGCTTATTATTTTGTTGAGATGTTGAAAAATATTTAGCAATTCCAAAGGCAAAATAACCAAGGTGATTAAAAAAAAAAGACTTCTGAATGCTTCTCTCTCTCTCTTTCTCTCTCTCTCTCTCTCTCTGTATGTATGAGTGTGTGTGTGTGTGCACACACACACATTATTTGGTCATGGTAAAATGGATTTAAATAAAAATAAAGCAGGGGCTTAGTGGTAGAGCTCTCACCTAGTACATGTGGGGTTCTGGGTTCGATCCTCAGCACCACATAAAAATAAAATAAAGGTATTGTGTCTAACTACAATTAAAATATTAAAAAATAAAGCATAAGATGGAGTTAGATTATTAATATAACATCCTATATGTAATGTAATAGATATTAATCAAAGAAGAGGAAAGAGCTACTTTCCCAGCAAAAATAGTGAGGATTGATACAGTTGATGTGTGTTGAAACTCAGAGCTTGTCAGTCACTGAGGCACTCAGTATTATTGGGCTTGTGATACCTTCTGTTATCTATTGCTCTACTAACCCATCTCCTGCCTTACTTCTAAAGTCTAGAAAAATGATAACAAGAGAGATTATTCTCTCAACAGCATTCCATTATCCATATTAAACATTTGAGGATTGGAAAGCTCTTAAATACTGTTGTCACATATACATCTATTTCAGTCTTGACTCCTACTTTCTAACTCTGTGATTTTTGCCAGACTCAGAGTGACCCAGAACCTAGGTTCTTTAATAGTCATAATTACGTTTACTTTGTCACTTCATAGGGATGCTTTAGAGAATAAATGAAATGATGTTTGCCAAATGTCTAGGATAGTGCCTGGTATGAAACAGACCCCCAGTAAAAGATTATTTTGTTTTATTAACTTCCTTACCCCCACTAATGTGTAATTTGGCACATCTGTTGTCTTCTGCATTTAGTGAGTTATTCCCATTCAACCTCCAGACTTCTGTAATGCACACAAGAAAATAGAGTACTACTCTGCCAAAAGGTCAGTCTAATACAAATAGAGAGGTTGGTTTATTTGTTTTCTTGTCACCTCAACTGAAATATTCTTTGACCTTACAAGAATGTACCATCCATCGATTAAGTGAACTTTTTACTTTCATTTTGTTCTTATTTCTTCTTTATTTATCCAGCTTAACTTCCAAATTCCTTTATCATATTTATTGTCTTGCATATGATCTCAAATCTTTTACATCCTTGCTTCACTTCTCTCCCCAGGTCTGATTAAATTCATTTCTTCACTTACTTTCTACCTGCACTCATAGAACTAAAGATGACTGGAAACACACAAACAAACAAAAAAACATCTATCTGTACTTTTTAATGTGCTCTGAATTTATACTCCTAATTCCACACAGATCCTTTGGGCCAGCTGCACACATACCACACTTCCACATGTTTAGGTGGTAAATCATTCCTTCTCTTTTTTTTTCATTTCCTTTTCTTTCTCTCTCCTTTTCTTTTAGAAATCTCCAAGTCTTCTATGTTCATTCTCAGTTGATGTTTGAGACTATAGAAGCAGTCAGAAAGAAACTTCTGTATAGTGACACAGTGTCTGCCCAGTTGTGTACTTCTGGGTGCAGATTCTTCCTCTTCACACCTGTTGCTATGGATGAATTGCCCTTGGTTCAAGCTAAGGATGCACCTTCACTTCTTTGAGAGAACCCATCTTTCTCACGTACTCATGGCCTATTGTTTCAGGAATTTTTCGTTCTATGTTCTTCATTAATAATTTTCCTCTTTTTTGAATCATTACTGTTTTTTTCCTGGTTTGTTCCTATTAGTATACAAAAAACTCTACTATTTCTTATATCTTAAAAAAAAATCTCTCTTTAAGGAAAAAAAGAAAAAAAAAAAGAAGCATCTCTCGTGATTCCATTTCTCCCTTTTGCTAATGCTTCGTTTCTCTACTTCTTTTGGTAGCAAAACTCACCAAAATTGTTGTTTATACTTATTGCTTCCAATTTCATTTACACTGTATTCTGTCAGAGCTGTTAACAATAACTTTTTGTCAGGGTCATCAATGAGCTCCATACCTGTAAATCCTTTGGTCAATCCTTAGTACCCATCCTTCTTAATTTACCAGCAGCATCTGACACACTATGACTTCACATGGGCAGCTCCTTCCCAGGCTCCTTGGCTAGTTACTCCTCATCATCCTTTCTTTTTAACATGGGCTGCCTTTGGCACTCACTCTGTCTGCTTAAGGAATTGTTGAAGGAAAAGCCCAAGATTAAAATGAGAAGAAAAGATTCATAAAGTCAACAATGAGATGATTATTCTGTGCAACAAAAGGAAGATAGTGTAAAGAGATGATTAGAAGTAAATTCAGAGCATTGAGATTAAGTGAGGTGATGTTTGAAAGTGTCCTTGAATTCAACAATTTAAGAGTCAGTGGTACCCTCCACCTCCTGAGTTCTTTTAACTCATAAAAACATTATATATATATTTCTCTTTTTTTTTTAACCTGGTAGCCAGAGAAATATAGGTCTGGTTGTGATATCTCTTTATCTTTGTCTGTTTTTCACACAAAAACATATATACACATGGACATACATACAAATAGTTCTTCATTTTATGGATGAAGGGACCAGTGTGGCCCAGAGAAGCTATATGTCTCCTTACAGTCACACAGCTAAATACAGGCAAAGCAGGAACTAGAACTCATATCTCAAAATCTCCATCTATTGCTCAGCCCACCACTGATTGTTAATGCAATTTTCAGAGGTCTTGATT